AAGGAAGGAAGGAAGGAAGGAAGCAGGAGCCACTTACATCCAGATGGCTGGTGGTTATTTCCTTGAGGGCTGCACAGGAAGGATGGAGGAGTTCGTACAGTATCGTGTCTGCACCCTTGCAGTAGAGGGTCAGTTCACCTTTCTGGTTCCGCACTGCAAGAAAGGAAAGGAGGGCAGAGAGACCGCATGGGTGATGCGCGGCAGATCAGGGGCAGCCGCCACCACCCCACCCCCACCCCCGCCTGGGCTTTCTCAAAGGAGCTCTCCGTGGGCCGCTAGAACTACCGGGTTCAGCAAGAAACCAACCCAAAGGAAGCACCCCCTGGTGACAAACAGGTTCCTAGAAACACCCCCACGGGTGCAAAGGACAGCATGGTCTCCAATCCATAAAAGTGGCTCTTTCCTCCTACAACTGTCACTTGTACTGAGGGTGAAAACTGAGTCAAGGGATGTGTTTCCACCAGCGCAGAAAAAGAAGTCCTAAGAAGCCATGGACCAGCCCCAGGCGGGTCGAGGGGAAGGAAGGAAGAGCGGGAAGACCCACCAATGACGGACATCCTTTTGCGCACATTGTTGAAGTCCAGGATGGCCAGCAGCTCATAGACAAGCGTCTCCCCCATTTCCACCAACGTGATGGTCTCCGGGGACCGGGCACGAAACACAAAGCCAAAGTTGCGGGCGGCCGTGACCAGGGCACCCTCGTCGGGAGACTGGGCTTGGTACGCCAGGACGCCTGCCGTGCCCAGGAGAGAACCAGCGTCACTACCCGAGGAGAGCCCGCCCACGAGAAGGCGCACCGGGCCCTCCCCAGGATGGCCTGGTGTGGTTTGGGCAACCCTAACCCTCTCCCTCCCCCTGGCAGAGCAACCGGCGGAGCTGGGCCGGGGGCAGGCTCTGGCTCACCTTTCCTCTTCTCGTCCGGCATCACCGTGTGGCAGAGGGAAAGCAGGCGGAAGAACCGGTGGGTGGGGGCGTCCCCAGCCTTCACTGCTTCCACAAGGCTCTGGTCGTAGAAGGCAAACTTGGGGTCCGCCAGTGGGTTGAAGGAGAAATCGACCTTCAACGTCTTCTGCAAGAGGAAAACTGTGGCATGAGCCCCTTCACGCTGCCTGCCTGCCTCCCACTGGGCTGGAGGCCACGCGTGGTTTCCATGGGCTCTCCATGCCTTCTGGCCAATACATGGCCCCACCGCTGACCTGGCCAAGCACAGCAGGGGAGGAGGAGGGGCATGGCCACTGGCCACACGGACTCCCAAAGGGCCTGAAGCACCAGGACAAAAGGCAGGGAAAGAACCCAGACGGCCAAAGGGCCGGCAGTGAGGTCCCCCTTCGGTTCTCCTCCTCCAAGCAAAGACGCCCCACCCAATCCCGCCGTGCTGGAAAGAACGGCGGAGGTGGCCCAGCCTCTCCTCCTGGGCAAGCGCTCTCATGCTGGGAAAGCAGCAAGCGCAGCCGTGACGGCGTTAACCCGCACGTACAAAATCCACGCCCCTGGCACGACGCGCTGGGAGCTCCGACTTACCTCCGTGACCTCCACCCGGTGTCCCTCAGAGTCGAAGACGTCCCCTGTGGGTGGGGAGCACAGACCAGGGAGGAGTCAGTTAAAAGCACCCAAAGAGGAGCAGGAGAGCCCACGGGCCCCAAGTGACTCAGAAGCCACTCCTGGGCCCTCCTTCCGGTGGCCCACAACAGCCCCGGCTCCCTCAGCCCGTGCCCGTCGTCCGTTTCGGCCAGACGGGTTCCTTCCGAGGCACAACGCTTCCACGGCACCCTCGGCTTCCGTGACCATCCAGGCCGGAGCCCTCCAGGGGTGCTGGATGGGGGGTCACCCCAGCCAGGAGGAGCCCCACCCCCTCCACCCTGCTGCAATCATCTGCACATCCGGAGGGTGAGGGTTTCTGGAAGATCATTCGACCCACCCAGGATTCTGACAGTTTAAGGGGGAGCGAACTTAATCTGGCAATGCTGGGGAGATGTCCAAGAAGCAGCGGGAACCAATGTGGGAAGGAGGGGCTCCCACCCCCACCCCACTCCCTCGGCTTGCCTTTTGCCCGCTGAGCCTGCTAGTCCCCTTGGGGGTTCAGTAGAACCTGCTCCCGTGGTGGTTCTCCCATGCCCCCTATTATCTCTCTCTCTCTCTGCCTCCTCCCCTTTGGCCGGGGTGACCAGAGCCACTCAGGGCCCCAGCTGGACCCTGTAAATCAGCAAGATGTCTCCTTTCGTTGTGGGCCTTGAAAGTTATCTCCTTTGTTGCCAGATGCCTTTGGGCCCCATCCTGCTCTCAGCACCAGCGGGTCCCACCCGCCGCCAGGCTCCCGATCAGGCAGGGAGAAGGAAGGGCCCCCACCGTAGGACTTCCCGTTGATGGAGCACTTGTTGAAGGCCATGATGTTCTGGGTGAGGGTGCCGGTTTTGTCCGAGAAGATGTACTTGATCTGGCCCAACTCCTCGTTGAGGGTGGTGGTGCGCGCCTGGGCGGGCACGTCGCTCGGGGCGTAGTACATCTTGCGGTCCCAGTCGATGTAGAAGCTGTTGCCCAGACGGATGATCTCCACGCTGGACCGAAGGAGAGAGACAAAGCTGAAGGCGCCTCCGGGGCCCCCCGGCAGCAGGAAGACGCGAAAAGGAACAGGCCCTTTTTGGGAAAGGAGGGGGCAAGACCTCTCTGGGAGGCAGCTGGGGAGGAACCCGGGTGGGGGGGGCAGAAGGAATCCATCTGGCAGGCACTGAAGTGGACAGAAAGCGGCCACGCCGAAGGATGCCCTCCTTGCAAGGCCTCCGGGACCAACAGAGTCACCGCCGGGCTCACGGGGGCCACTGCCCGACAGCTGCGCGTACACGTGCTAGGAAGCCACCTTGTATTGTGGCCACGGGCACCGCCTGCTTTTCTCCTTCAGCCACTGGCAACTGACTAGGGAACATTAGGGGGGCTGAGAGGGAAGGGGTCCCGTTGCCACCATCCTCTCCGCCTTTCCATACCCACCCCTGGAGGTCACCAGGGCAGCAACCGCTCATGTTCTGTTCAAGGGGCCACCGAGGAGAGCGGAAACGCAAGCAGAAGCCTGAGTCTGGGCTGTTTGGGCACACGAGCACACCCCCCCCAGTCGTCCCCCCAAGGACAGTGTCCCCACCTGGGCCCCTCACCTAACCAGACCTCTTTCCAAAGGCTCCTTCTTCATGAAGGAACACAACCCAGCGATGGCAGGTCTCCCCGGGGGGGTGTGTGTCATGGTCGTGTCGCCTTTCCCACCTGGGCCCGGCCGGCTGCGAGGCCAGGCAGCTTTAATCAGGGGCCGAAATAATGAGCAGCAGCAGCATCAGAGAAGAGGGTTCCTCGGAGCTGAAGCCGACTCAGGATCTCCAGAAGGGAGGAGTGTGAGGTCAAGGGTGGTGGGGGGGAACCCTCTGCTGTGGGCTCAGCGGTCTCTTCCTTTACCTGACATAGAGGGAGATGGGCACCACCGTGTTGAGGATGATGACGTAGGACCAGAACATGAGGAAGCCGGAGTAGAGGGAGGAATGGACGTTCTCGCCCCAGGGCAGGTACACCCGGAAGTCGTAGCCCTTGTGGTATTCCCAGAGGCTGTTGCCGAGGGCCAGGGTCAAGCACATGGCAGCCAAGAGAGCAAAGATCTGGCAGAGAGGAGAGGGGGGGCGGTCAGGCGTGGCGGCTTCACACAGGAGCACGGGACACCCTTCGCCCTCAGCGGCTGGTCGCCCACGGAGACAAAGGGAGTCCTTCGCCTCCCTGAGAAGTGTTCAAGGAGGAGTGGATCCATCTCCCTGGCCATGAAAGGACGCAATGGAGAGAAAAGCAGGGCAGGACTCACCACCAGCACCAGGTAGTTCATCAGGCGTTCTATGCTGGTCCTCTTAAAAGTGGTCCTTCCGCTGTTCTGCATTAATTTGGTGTCTGGCCCTGGTAAGTCAAACAGTTGGGTGTCTTGGCTGCTGTGTCTGGTTTAAACTTAGGGCCAAAACATTTAGCCCTCTTGCAACCCCTTCCAAAAAGCCCACCTGTTCCCCAATCCCCCCCCCTGCACCACTCTGGCCCCGATGCAAAATGGTCCCATGAAAGGCAGGCGCACACTGAAAAGAGGCAAAAAAGGGGGACAGTCGAAGGGGGACAGTCGGTTGGGTCAAAAGGAAGGGCAGACGGGGCCAGAAGAGCACCCCATCCATTGCCCTCCCCCCCCCAGATGGACCCAAGGACGTTCCGTGTTTCCTGAGCACAAGAGGAGGGTGGGGGTGGAACCTGCTCTGTTGCCCCTCCCTTCCCACCAAAAGATGCCCTGTTCTTCCACATCCCTCGCTGCTGCTGCCGCTGCGGCCTCCTGGCAGAGCAAGGCAGGCCTGTTTTCAGCCCATAAACACTACGGGCAAGAAAGCATTTGCAATGCTGGAAAAAAACAACCCCACTACCCACTGGTCCCCCATTCTTCTTGCATCGCCCCCTCTGCTCCGATTCTGCCACCTGCCTCCCAGCTGCCTTTGAGGGCCAGGTTCTCAGAAGGCCGCTCCCAGTGAGGTGGGTATGAATTCACAATGTTTCATACAATAATTACAGAATGCCAAATATGCCATGCAAGGGACAACGCATAAAGGACAGCACAGGAAGCCAAAGCAATGAAGTAGCAGGGAAGCCCTAAGGGGTCTTGAAAAACAAGAAGCAAAATGAGAACACTTCAGAAGATGATGGATCGATCGATCGATCGATCGATTGATGGACTGTTGGTTTTCCTTAAGCAAAAACCCAAGACCTGAACACTTTTCAGTTCCCCCACCCACCTTTCACAGTTTGGACTCCTTTAAGGTTTGATCATCTTTTCTTTTCTTTTCTTTTTTTTGCAGGCGAGGGGGTGGCAGTTTCAAAAGAGGAAGTGTCCCTGGGAACTCATTTGCTCTCAACCGCAAAATGCAAACATTTGACATGCACCAAATCTGCAAAGATTCTCGCTCATCCAAGCGGGGTTATCTGGAAGCTGGGTCACGGCAACTGGCCTTCTTCCTTATCCGGTGGAAACAGTTATCTGGAAGCTGAGTCACGGCAACTGGCCTTCTTCCTTATCTGGTGGAAACGTTTTCCTGCTCATTCAAGGGACGGGCACGTCTAACGAGTCCAGTGGAAGGCACACACCTGGTGGTGGGCCTCGGCTTTGTGAGGCTCCCGGGCTGGAGGGGGTGACGTGCGGACCCCGGGCCCCTCCCAGGGGTCAGGCTGCTTAGCACTCCGCACGGAAGGGGAACAAGAAGTCTGACAGACACAGCCCTCCACCCATGGGGCCGTTGGCCCCTGGGCTGCGAGGCTCCGGAAGGGGTCTAAAGAGGCTGCTCTTTCCTTTGTAACAGACGGACGGGCTTCCACAGGGAGGCATCAAACGGTTTTCAGGCTTCCTCCAAGGGGAAAAAGCTAAAGGGCAGCCGTGCTCTTCCCTCCCCCATCTCCCCTCCCCGTCTCACAGCTCAGCCTCTGCACCCTCGGAAGCCCCACGACCGACCGACCGACCGCTGCAGGGGCGGCTCTTACCAGCAAAGATGACGAGCCCAAAGCACCAGTCCGTGTTGCGGATGGTGCAGCCACGGAGCAGCATCCTCTCGTTGTCCAAGGGGTACAGGTGGCCCTGGAAGGCCAGGTTCCCTCTGAACTGGTCCAGCTTGTTATTAGGCGCCTCACACACAATTTCGCCTGCAGACAAAGGCAAGGAACAGCGGTGAGTGGGCTGGGAGGGGGCTTCTCTGGGGCTGCCCTCCCCATGCCCCACAGCTGGCTCCCTCAGCCGAAGGCAACATCTGGGGATCGATCAGGAGGACAGGGGCTCTGCCGGGCCCACCCAGGGAGGAGGAGGTGGGGGAATCCAGCTGCTGCCGGCTTTCCTCCCTTCCAGTGTTCCAGAATCCTGTCTTTAAGGGAGACCAAGACGGAGAGGCACCGGCCAGCCCACGAGGGCCCCAAGGCTGGCTGGCTGGAGTGGGGTGGGGTGGGGTGGGCCTTCCGGCACCACTGGGTGCATGGCCAGCCTTTCTGTGCCCATCGCAGGCTGGTTTGCTCTGCTCCCTGCCTGGAGCCAGCGGCCGGGGGGGGGCAGGGGGCGTGTGGTTCCTGGAATCCTGTGGGGAGCCACCCTGGCCCTTTGGTCTGGGAAGGCGGCCCAGAAGGACAGCCTTCACCCATGGGGTAAGAGGACCTGAGCTGCTCCCACTGGCCTGCTGATCTGTTGCCCTTCGCCCGCTGCCTGCCAGGAAGGCCCACTGGCTTCCCCCTGGTGTGGGTGGGGGTGCTTGGCCCTGGCCAGCTGTGGTGGATCCCCTCCCCCTCCAGTCAGCAGCACATTCAGATGACCAAGGATATAGGAAACCACCCCATCCCACCAGGGGGGGAAAGGGCTTGGAGGCCAAGAGTCGGCTTCTGGAATAAGGGCTGCCAAAGGACGTGCCTCTGTACCCCCCAGGGCTCAACTCCAGAACCCCAGTCTCGGTTTTATGCACCAGCCACCCTGCTTCTCAGCTTCCCCCCCCCCCGGGGTGATGCAAGGAAAGGGGCTGATCGGCTGGACTGGATTCTGGGGGGGGGGGGCTGTGGCAACAGCAGCAACTCCTGCACAGGGAGCGCTTCCCCATCTCTCCCCCCAACACCGGCCATGGACGGACCAAGGGCAACGCTCCATGCTACTTAGTGCTGCTGCCAGTGTGTAAGGCGGTGGCGGTGGGCACTGCTGGTATACCCACCCTCGCGGGATGGTGGCGCTGGACCCACAGAATCTGCACCAGAGCACAGAGTCGCCTGCAAACAGTGCGGACACCCAGAAGCCCTCAGAGGAGTGAAGCGAGAAAGAGTTCAGAGGAAAGGCAAAGAATGCAAAGATCTGTGAAGAGAAAGGGGGGTCGTTGGGACAAAGGCACAGGAAGGAAGCAGAGCCGGATCAGGTCCACACAGCCTCCCCTCCCCTCCCCTCCCCCGGAAAGGGGGCAAGCAGAGGCAACAAAGCCCATCCCCGGTCTCGGGTTTCCGTGGGGCTTGGGGCCGTCTTGGCCCGACTTTCATGGTGGAGGCTGTGCCATGCCCTTGCTGACGTTGGCGTGAGAGGGCGGGGATGGTCGCCTCCGGCCTGTGCACCCTCCTCAGGGGGAAAGTGCTCAGCATTCTGTGTCTCCACCTTCACACCCACCTTGCAAGGCAAAAAGCAAACCGCCTCCCCCAGGCACCTTTTCAAGCTGAGGCCAAGAGGGGCTTCCCAGCCCTGGCCTGCCTTCGGGGACCAGAGGGATTTCCTCCCCTGGGCGGACAGAGAGCGGCCTGCCTGGGAAAGGGCCGGCCCCTCCAAGAGGCTGAGACCGTCCCTTCCCACTTCCTGCCAACTGACCGGAGCGTCTCTTCAAAGTCACCCATGAGGGCAGGTCCAGGAGACGAGGACTGTAGAAAGCCTACACACACACACACACACACACACACACACACACACACACACACACACACACACACACACACACACAC